ACCCGCCCGCCGAGCTCCGAGCCGCGTCCGCCCGGAGGACCGAGAAGCGCCCCGATCCCGAGCCGAGCCGGGCCTTTGCGCGGCGGGAAGAAGACGGACCCACCTCCGAGCCCTGCAGTCCCCGGACGCCCGGAGGCCTGGCTCGGCCGCGTCTCGTCTCTCCTTGAAGCCGTTTTGGTAAATTATTTTGCTCGGACCTCGAGGCCAGAAGTTGATTTTCCAGGCGTCCGCCCGGAGGACCGAGAAGCGCCCCGATCCCGAGCCGAGCCGGGCCTTTGCGCGGCGGGAAGAAGACGGACCCACCTCCGAGCCCTGCAGTCCCCGGACGCCCGGAGGCCTGGCTCGGCCGCGTCTCGTCTCTCCTTGAAGCCGTTTTGGTAAATTATTTTGCTCGGACCTCGAGGCCAGAAGTTGATTTTCCAGTCGTTGCGCTTCTCGAAATCCAACCTGAGGCTCCGCCACCCCTTGGCCAGCGCGTCGCAGTTTTATGATAAAATAAAGTCCTTTTCCAGTGACCGGACTGGCGCCGTGTTGTCCTCTGGGGCCCTGTTGTGGGACGGCTGCGTGGTGGCCACACGCCACACGCTGGGGTCCACGGGGTAGGCACTGCGGGGTCAGTACTCTGTGGGTCCACGGGGTAGGCGCTGCGGGGTCCACGGGGTCAGCGATGTGGGTCTACGGGGTCAGCGCTGCGGGGTCCACGGGGTCAGCGATGTGGGTCTGCGGGGTCCACGGGGTCAGCGCTGTGGGTCTACGGGGTCAGCGCTGCGGGGTCCACGGGGTCAGCGCTGCGGGGTCCACGGCGTCAGCGCTGTGGGTCTACGGGGTCAGCGCTGCGGGGTCCGCGGGGTCAGCACTGTGGGTCTGCGGGGTCCTCCTAGACCACGAATGTACAGGGTCCGAATGATGTCATCCCCGTCCGTGAGGCAGTGATGACGCAGCCCCTCCCACTGGCCCCACCTCTACCCTGGGCTCTCATTCATGGGGGACGAGCCTGTCACATGGGAGCTTAGGAAGAATATTGCATGGTCAAGAACAAGGGGAGAAGACAGCCGGCAGCCCTAGTGTCCTGTCCCAGGACAAGCCCCCACTAGCTCCTCGGCCTGCCGGCTCTGAATCCACCCGCGACTTGCACTCGGTGACGTCACAGTCCCCTTGACGTGGCAGCTCTCATGCTGCGATTGCCCCTGCCCCCCGGGAGCCGGGTGTCCACGTCCTTTCTCTCCCGTGACTCTGGGTGACTCGGGCCAGTACTGGTCCCGGGGGAAGCTCAGTCGCCTTAACTTCCGCTAAATCCGCTCAGTTGTCTTAACTTCCTTTAAATCCGGGAAATCTGAGACAGCCTCGTAGGCTGATGACGTCAGGGGGGAGAAGCTGGCCTCAGAGTGTCATCAAGCACCTGGCGTCCAGGGCCACCCGGTGCTGTACACAGTCCTTCAATACAAATCCATCCAGCTTATAGACGACATCCAGGTGGGACGCTGACGTCAGCACCGAGCGCAGTGACGCGGCCTTTTCTGGAATGATCCGGCTTAAAGCGGCCGCTGCTCGGCAGCTCAGACCACTGTGCTGAGCTCGGGTGCTGTCAGCTCGGTGCCTCCCGAAGTCTGCAGGGATGAGTTCTTGTGAGGATGCGGCCTACCGCAGGCTGATGGAGTGTGCACACGGCTTCATGGTCTCCCAGGTATGGGGCGGATGGGGGCATACACTCGGGTGCTGAGCACAGTCATGGATCTGGCACAGAGAGGAAGGCTATGCCACAGCCTGGGGAAGAGGCTCAGTGGGTAGAGTGCTTGGAGCTTAATTGGTAGTGTTTTTAGCTCAGTTCGTAGGGTGCTTATAGCTCAGTAGGTAGGGTGCTTGTAGCTCAGTGGATGGAGTGCTTTGACTCGGTAGAATGCTTGTAGGTCAGTGGGTGGAGTGCTTGTAGTTTAGTACGTAGAGTCCTTGTACTTAGGTGAATAGAGTGGGTGTAGCTCAATGTGTAGAATGCTTAGAGCTCAGTGGGTGCAGTACTTGGGGCTCAGTGAGTGCAGTACTTGGGGCTCAGTGAGTGGAGTGCTTGTAGCTAGGTTTGTAGCTCAGTGGGTGTTGTGCTTGTAGCTAGGTAGGTAGAGTGCTTGGACCTCAGTGGCTTGAGTACTTGTAACTTGGTAGGTGGAGTGCTTGTAGCTAAGCAGACTGCTTGCAGCTCAGTGGGTCAAGTGCTTGTGGGTTTTTTTTTTTTACTTTTTTGTCTTTTTGGGACGGGGTCTCCCCGTAGCCCGAGCTGTCCCGGAACTCACCACGTAGACCAGGCTGGCCTTGAACTCACAGCTATCCGCCTGCCTCCGCCTCCCGAGTGCTGGGTTTAAAGGCGTGTGCCACCACTTCAGGCTCTGGGTGGAGGGCTTGTAGCTCAGTGGGTGGAGTGCTTGTAGCTCAGTAGGTAGAGCGCTTGTGGGTCAGTGGGTGGAGTGCTTTCACCTTAGTAGGTAGGGTGCTTGTAGCTTGGTTGGTGGAGTGCTCAGTAGGTCTCGTGCTGAGACTGAGACTGAGCACTGAGCACCGAGCGGCGCCCTCTCCCTTGCTGCCGGGTCGCTGGTGCTGCGCTGGCGCCCGGCCCAGTGCATGCTGGGTAATTCTGCTGCATACCCTCCTCAAAGTGCAGCTTCCAGGGATCCGAAAAACGGAGAACACATTCACTGTGCACAGCACCCCCCAGATAAACCGAGCGTCAGGCACCTTCCCGCCCAGGTAACCTAGCACCAGAGGATCCCCGGGTGCCGCAGAGCACCATGGGAGAAAGCGTCAGGTTGGAATGAGCCGAGTACTGGTGCTCGGTGCTGCCAGGTGCTGAGCGCCGAGTCTTCTCCACAGGTTGTGTTCGCGGCCTGCGAGCTGCGAGTGTTTGATGCCCTGGATGCTTTGGGGCCCCTGGACGCAGACGCCGTGGCCGAGCGACTGAGCACCAGCACCCGGGGCACTGAGCTGCTGTTGGACACCTGTGTGGGCCTGGGGCTGCTGCACGTGGACGTGCGGGGCGGGCGAGGTGAGGGGCGTCGGTCTAGGGGGAGGGGTGACGTCAGCCTAAGGGGGGCGCTGGCCAGGCCCTGATGTCACTCGGGCCGGGCCTCGACTACGCTGCGGGTCACTTCGTCCCCCAGGCGGGGCGGGGACGTGACGCGCTGAGGCAGGATGCCGTGAGCGCTTCGGCCGTGGGAGTGCTGCACTGTGTGGCGCCGTGTGCACAGGTCCCGAGGTCCGGCTCGCAGCCCGCAGGATGCGCCGCACACGGGCCCCGCTCCGCGCTGCCTGGGTGCTGTGCAGAGTCGCCTTGGGGTGCAGGGTATGACGCCGCTGGTCCTCCGGGCCGGCCCTGCGGCGCCAGCTTTCCACTTTCTTGTCTTGAGCTCGGTACTCGAACTCGGAGCTGTCCAGCACCTTCCTGGCCAGCGGGGGTACTCAGTCTCAGCACCACCTGCTGCTCTACCTAGCGGGAACCCCGTATCGCTGCTGGGGCAGCCTGGCCCGGGCGGTGAGGTGAGTGACGCAGCTCCCAGCATGCACCGCGCCGGGGGCGGGGGCGGGGAGGACAGAGACCAGCACCCCGGAGGAGGACTGAGTGATAGAGACAAGCACCCAGCGGAAGGACCGAGGGCCAGAAGTAAGCACCCAGCAGGAGGACGGAGGGACGGAGGGACCCGGCCGGACTGGGGAACAGGTGACACACAGGTCGATGCCCGCGCAGGCAGGTCATGGACCGCACAGGGATGGACTTGATCGATCTGTGTTCACGGGCGGGTCGGTGATAGGAAGGGACGGGACAGGCGGGACCCGCGGAGCGCGGAGGAGCTCATCCATGCACAGGTGCATGACGGGTACCCGGACCCGATAGACACAGCGAGTGACGTGATGGGTCAGATCGATGACCCGGCACGTTGACAGATCGCAACACAAGGGAAGCGCACAGACATGCTCAGTCGATAAGTAGATTGACGACAGACCGAGGATTGCTGGATGGAGGGCAGACATGATCAATCGATCGGTAAGGAGATTGACGCTAGATCATCCACTGACCGATCATCGTGACAGACAGACAGATGACAGATAGGAGATCTCGACGATAGGTGACGACAGATGACAGCAGACGGATAAGTGCATTGATGACGGGCAGATGATGTCACAGATCATCAATACAAGGATTCGTAGAGGACAGACATGATCCATTGATAGATGATGAGTAGAGTAATGATACATGACGTATTGACAGATCATCAATACAAGGACTGATAGACACAGACGTGATAAAGATGATGAGCAGATTGATGACAATGATGGAGGACAGGCGTGATCAATCGATAGATGATGAGTAGATCGATGACGATATTTCGACACACAGATCACGAATATAAGGACCGATAGAGGACGGACGTTATGGGCAGATCGATGACTGACAGCCGATGTCTTCAGAGATGGTGAACACGAGGATCGGGAGACCCGGGAGGACAGACGTGGCTGAGAAACAGATTGACAGACGACAGACAGATAACGCGGGGATTGGTGACAGACGTAGGGACACAGATCGCGGATAGACGATGGCGGACAGAGGACAGACAGAAGGAATACATGGATGACAGACGCATGATGGAGGACAGGCCGGGGAGGTAGTCATGCGTGGATACTAGACGTGATACACGACAGGACACGCACGCTGAATGCCGGATGACAGCCGGTGACGCGGCAGACATAATTAATGGACAGACGATAGATGGATCCTGCAGGACAGTCAGGGTAAATAGATGAGACATGACGGGACAGGCATGATGGTCGATACAAGATAGCTGGATCACAGCGGACACGCGATGCTACACAGATGGATGACGACACAGACGGGATAAATCCATAGACGACAGACATGATGAGCCGGTACATGACAGGGGCACTTTTCCCCAGGCAAGGCCGGAACCAGTACCCTGAGGCGCTAGGTGTTCCCTCCCACGAGCCCTTCGCCGCCATCTACAGGTGAGTGTGGGGGTGGCCTGACCTCATCCCGAAGTCTCTGGGAGGGAGGCTGTGCACCGCGGGGACGTCGCCCCTCCCTCGGGAGTACCGAGTCAAGCACCGCGTGGGGTTGGCGGGGGTGCTCAGTGTGGTGTCCCACGCCAGGTCCGAGGCCGAGCGGCTGCGGTTCATGCGGGGCCTCCAGGACATGTGGCGCGTGTGCGGCCGGCGCGTCATGGCCGCCTTCGACCTGTCGCCCTTCCGCGTCATCTGTGACGTCGGCGGTGAGCCCCCACCCGTGACCGCTGTCCACCTAGTTCCCAGCACCGCTGTCCGCCTAGATCCCAGCACCGCTGTCCACCTAGTTCTCAGCACCACCGTCCACCTAGTCTCAGCACTATTGTCAGGTCACAGAAGAACATTGAGTGCCGGTCAGGGTTTTCAGGAGGGCTAGCCTGTGGTCTCTGTGGCTTTGGACCTGTGGTGACAGCAGAGCATCATGGGAGCACAGGGGCTGCTGACGTCATGGTGGACCAGCAGAGGAGACTGGGGTACGAGTCTCCATCGCCTCGCGCGGTAATCTCCGGAGGGGTGCGCTGATGATGTCACAGTTTCCAGTGACGGTCGCTCCCCTCCAAGCCGCGCTTCTTAGCGTCTGTGTACTGTGCACAGCACCCCGTTAGAGTCTCCGGCCTTAGAGTTCGGTCTCCAGAGCGTCTGTCAAGGGGTCCTGGTGGTTTGGGCCAACCTGGGGTGCACACAAGTCATCAGTGGCCGATGACGACAAAGGAAGTGACGTCACAGTGGAAGGGACTCGAACCCCAGGCTCTTCTCTACTTCCTGTCTGCCACGACGTCACAACTCTGCTGCCCCACGTGCTCCCATGATGCTCAAGGCCGTCTGCACGCTCACGACCTACCCGCACACCCCAGGGGTGCTTGAAGGCTGTGCAGAGTACCCCCCACTTCCGCCCCCCCATCCGCCCCCTTCCCAGCGTGTCCCTCGGTGTCTGCTCCCAGGCGGCTCTGGCGCTCTGGCCAAGGACTGTGCGGCTCTGTACCCCGGAAGTCGGGTGACCGTGTTCGACGTCCCGGAAGTCGTCAGCGCTGCCAAGACCCACTTCCGGTTCCACCGGGAAGGGCGCATCGAGTTCTGCGCAGGTGCGTCTGCGCTGTGGGTGCTGGGAACCGAGTACCCCTCCAGGCTCTTGTTGGTGCTGGTGCGCAGTTGGTGCTGGCCCCCGCACCGGTGGACGCAGGTGCGTCTGCGCTGTGGGTGCTGGGAACCGAGTACCCCTCAAGAGCGCTTCAGGCTCTTGTTGGTGCTGGTGCGCAGTTGGTGCTGGCCCCCGCACCGGTGGCGTGGACTGTGCGCACAGTACTCACAGGTGTCCTGGGGGCACAGGGGACTTCTTCCAGGACGACCTCCCGGAGGCCGAGCTCTACATACTGGCCCGGATCTTACACGACTGGTCGGACGGGGACTGTGCGAGGCTCCTCGCGAGGATCCACCAGGCCTGCGCCCCAGGTGGGCGGCGGGGACCACCTAGCCACGAGCACTCACACACATATGGGGAACATGAACGACTTAGCTACAAGCACTCAAACACGGGAAAAATGCACGACTTAGCTACAAGCACCCGAACACACAAGAAAAATGCTCGACTTAGCTACCACCACTCAAAGACGGAAAAACCCATGACTTAGCTACAAGCACTCAAACAGAAAGGGGATAGAATCCATGATGTAGTTACAAGCATTCTCAAGCACATAGGGAAAATATCCACGACTTAGCTACAAGCACTCAAACATATGGGAAAAATCCACTACTTAGCTACAAGCAGTGAAACAGGGAGGTGTGCACCAACTCCAGGAGTCTAAGTTGCGCCAACGTGGGGTGCTGGACTCGGTGTTCATGCTCATTTCTGTCCCCAGGCGGGGGCGTCCTGGTGATCGAGAGCGTCCTGGACGAGGACGGGCGGGGCCCTGTCAGTACCCTGCTCTTGTCCCTGAACATGCTGGTGCAGACGGAGGGCCAGGAGAGGACTGTGACCCAGTACCGCGCGCTCACGGCCTCCGCCGGCTTCCCACGATTCAAGTGGGAGAAGACCGGGGGCGTCTATGACGTCATGCTAGCCCGGAAGTGACGCCAACGTGGGGCTGGGGTGCGGGAAGCGCAGACTTAGCAGTAAACACTCTGCGTCTCGTGGATCCCATTGCGCTTGGTACATGATCTTTCTCCACGCTGTAGCTGGGTCGGGGTCCCCACGGTGCTGTGTGTTAAGTTGTCCTGGGGCACATGACGTCAATTTACGGACACTGCACCGCAAGGCGGCTTTCCTGTCAGCCTTCTCCTTCCTGTGGGCGGCAGCAACTCCCGTGATCCCTTGCGGCCGGGGATCGAGCGGGAAGAGCCCGGAACCCGACCCCGGCCGGGGTACTGTGGCCCCAGCACCCTCCTCACACGAGGTGAGGTCAGAAGCTCCATTACTATGTCCAGACACAAGCAAGCACTCTACCCACTGAGCTACAAGCACTGTGCACATTGAGCCACAAGCACTCTATTCACTGAGCTATAAGCACTGTGTGCACTGAGTTACAGGTACTCTACCCACTGAGCTTCAAGCACTCTGTCCACTGTTATAAGCACTCTGCTCACTGAACCAAATCCCTAGTTCCCACAAACCTGCCCTCCGCCCAGGTGGATCTTGGAAGCCAGGCCGTGAGGCTCCTCTGGCCCAGACTCCGCATTCAGCACCTTGCTGTTGGTCATGAGGGTTTCTCATCCTGAAGTTGTCCACAGACTGTGGTCATTCTTTTAGTTTCCTAAAGGAACTCAGTTGTCAGCGGGTGCTGAGCTCAGTACTTGAGACAAGTCTCCCTTTGGTCTGGATTAGGTTAATGAAGCAGGAACACCCTCCTGAAAGTGGGCGGCACTGTAGGACTGAGTTCTCAGTACTGCGTTGGGGGTTTAGCCCCAGGCTGTGGTTTGTGGGTGTCGAGTCTGGGCCGTGTCTCCGTCCACCTGGAATCAGCTACCGAGTCCAGCACCTTCCCTGGGGATTAAGGAGGCTCCATGGAGACACGGAGAGGAGCAGGTGGCTCACAGGGTGGAGTTTCAGGACACCCTGCTCCCCACGTGGGTGCTGGGAACCGAGTCCTTTGCAAGGTTGCTGCTGTGTCTAAGCTCTGCTGGGTGCTGAACTACGCCCAAGTGATTGACAGTTCAGGGCTGCGCTACCCTGGAGTCCGTGTGGCCGGAGCCTCGGTTGTTATTCCAGAGCTCAGTCCCTCTTTGGGACAGGAGGGTGTGGGGGGGTGATTGACGTGGGGAATCCAGGTGATTGACAGCTGCAGTCGCCCGTGCACACGGCTCCTGTCCACAGAGATGGGACTCGACGGCCTCATGCAGGGACCCCCGGCTGTGGATGTAGTGCTTGTAGCTCGGTGGGTAGGGTGCTTGTAGTTCAATGGGTAGAGTGCTTGTAGCTACTGGCACAGTACTTGTAGCTCACCGGGCAGAGTGCTTGCAGCTCGGAGGACAGAGTGCTTGTAGCTCAGTAGGTGGACTGCTTGTAGCTCAATGTACAGAGATTGTAACTCAGTAGATAGAGTGTTTGAGGCTCAGTGTTGAGTGCTTGTTGCTACTGGCACAGTACTTGTAGCTCAGTGGGTAGAGTGCTTATAGCTCAGTGGCCAGAGTGCCTGTAGCTCAGTGCCCAGAGTGCTTGTAGCTCAGTGGCCAGAGTGCTTATAGTTCAGTGGCCAGAGTGCTTGTAGCTCAGTGGCCAGAGTGCCTGTAGCTCAGTGAGTAGAGTGCTTGTAGCTCAGTGGCCAGAGTGCTTGTAGCTCAGTGGCTGGAGTGCTTGTAGCTCAGTGGCTGGAGTGCTTAGAGTTCAGTGGCCAGAGTGCTTATAGTTCAGTGGCCAGAGTGCCTGTAGCTCAGAGGCCACACTGCTTGTAGCTCAGTGTAGAGTGCTTGTAGCTCAGTGTTGAGTGCTTGTAGCTACTGGGCATAGTACTTGTAGCTCAGTGGCCAGAGTGCTTGTAGCTCAGTGGCCACACTGCTTGTAGCTCAGTGTAGAGTGCTTGTAGCTCAGTGTTGAGTGCTTGTAGCTACTGGGCATAGTACTTGTAGCTCAGTGGCCAGAGTGCTTGTAGCTCAGTGGCCACACTGCTTGTAGCTCAGTGTAGAGTGCTTGTAGCTCAGTGTTGAGTGCTTGTAGCTACTGGGCATAGTACTTGTAGCTCAGTGGCCAGAGTGCTTGTAGCTCAGTGGCCACACTGCTTGTAGCTCAGTGTAGAGTGCTTGTAGCTCAGTGTTGAGTGCTTGTAGCTACTGGGCATAGTACTTGTAGCTCAGTGGCCAGAGTGCTTGTAGCTCAGTGGCCACACTGCTTGTAGCTCAGTGTAGAGTGCTTGTAGCTCAGTGTTGAGTGCTTGTAGCTACTGGGCATAGTACTTGTAGCTCAGTGGCCAGAGTGCTTGTAGCTCAGTGGCCACACTGCTTGTAGCTCAGTGTAGAGTGCTTGTAGCTCAGTGTTGAGTGCTTGTAGCTACTGGGCATAGTACTTGTAGCTCAGTGGCCAGAGTGCTTGTAGCTCAGTGGCCACACTGCTTGTAGCTCAGTGTAGAGTGCTTGTAGCTCAGTGTTGAGTGCTTGTAGCTACTGGGCATAGTACTTGTAGCTCAGTGGCCAGAGTGCTTGTAGCTCAGTGGCCACACTGCTTGTAGCTCAGTGTAGAGTGCTTGTAGCTCAGTGTTGAGTGCTTGTAGCTACTGGGCATAGTACTTGTAGCTCAGTGGCCAGAGTGCTTGTAGCTCAGTGGCCACACTGCTTGTAGCTCAGTGTAGAGTGCTTGTAGCTCAGTGTTGAGTGCTTGTAGCTACTGGGCATAGTACTTGTAGCTCAGTGGCCAGAGTGCTTGTAGCTCAGTGGCCACACTGCTTGTAGCTCAGTGTAGAGTGCTTGTAGCTCAGTGTTGAGTGCTTGTAGCTACTGGGCATAGTACTTGTAGCTCAGTGGCCAGAGTGCTTGTAGCTCAGTGGCCACACTGCTTGTAGCTCAGTGTAGAGTGCTTGTAGCTCAGTGTTGAGTGCTTGTAGCTACTGGGCATAGTACTTGTAGCTCAGTGGCCAGAGTGCTTGTAGCTCAGTGGCCACACTGCTTGTAGCTCAGTGTAGAGTGCTTGTAGCTCAGTGTTGAGTGCTTGTAGCTACTGGGCATAGTACTTGTAGCTCAGTGGCCAGAGTGCTTGTAGCTCAGTGGCCACACTGCTTGTAGCTCAGTGTAGAGTGCTTGTAGCTCAGTGTTGAGTGCTTGTAGCTACTGGGCATAGTACTTGTAGCTCAGTGGCCAGAGTGCTTGTAGCTCAGTGGCCACACTGCTTGTAGCTCAGTGTAGAGTGCTTGTAGCTCAGTGTTGAGTGCTTGTAGCTACTGGGCATAGTACTTGTAGCTCAGTGGCCAGAGTGCTTGTAGCTCAGTGGCCACACTGCTTGTAGCTCAGTGTAGAGTGCTTGTAGCTCAGTGTTGAGTGCTTGTAGCTACTGGGCATAGTACTTGTAGCTCAGTGGCCAGAGTGCTTGTAGCTCAGTGGCCACACTGCTTGTAGCTCAGTGTAGAGTGCTTGTAGCTCAGTGTTGAGTGCTTGTAGCTACTGGGCATAGTACTTGTAGCTCAGTGGCCAGAGTGCTTGTAGCTCAGTGGCCACACTGCTTGTAGCTCAGTGTAGAGTGCTTGTAGCTCAGTGTTGAGTGCTTGTAGCTACTGGGCATAGTACTTGTAGCTCAGTGGCCAGAGTGCTTGTAGCTCAGTGGCCACACTGCTTGTAGCTCAGTGTAGAGTGCTTGTAGCTCAGTGTTGAGTGCTTGTAGCTACTGGGCATAGTACTTGTAGCTCAGTGGCCAGAGTGCTTGTAGCTCAGTGGCCACACTGCTTGTAGCTCAGTGTAGAGTGCTTGTAGCTCAGTGTTGAGTGCTTGTAGCTACTGGGCATAGTACTTGTAGCTCAGTGGCCAGAGTGCTTGTAGCTCAGTGGCCACACTGCTTGTAGCTCAGTGTAGAGTGCTTGTAGCTCAGTGTTGAGTGCTTGTAGCTACTGGGCATAGTACTTGTAGCTCAGTGGCCAGAGTGCTTGTAGCTCAGTGGCCACACTGCTTGTAGCTCAGTGTAGAGTGCTTGTAGCTACTGGGTACAGTGCTTGTAACTCAGCAGAGTGCTTGTAGCTCAGTGTAGAGTGCTTGTAGCTCAGTGGCCAGAGTGCCTGTAGCTCAGAGGCCACACTGCTTGTAGCTCAGTGTAGAGTGCTTGTAGCTACTGTGCATAGTACTTGTAGCTCAGTGGCTGGAGTGCTTGTAGGTCAGTGGCCAGAGTGCTTGTAGGTCAGTGGCCAGAGTGCTTGTAGCTCAGTGGCCAGAGTGCCTGTAGCTCAGTGGCCAGAGTGCCTGTAGCTCAGTGGCCAGAGTGCCTGTAGCTCAGTGGCCAGAGTGCCTGTAGCTCAGTGGCCAGAGTGCCTGTAGCTCAGTGGCCAGAGTGCCTGTAGCTCAGTGGCCAGAGTGCCTGTAGCTCAGTGGCCAGAGTGCCTGTAGCTCAGTGGCCAGAGTGCCTGTAGCTCAGTGGCCAGAGTGCCTGTAGCTCAGTGGCCAGAGTGCCTGTAGCTCAGTGGCCAGAGTGCCTGTAGCTCAGTGGCCAGAGTGCCTGTAGCTCAGTGGCCAGAGTGCCTGTAGCTCAGTGGCCAGAGGGCCTGTAGCTCAGTGGGCAGAGTGCTTGTAGGTCAGTGGGTAGAGTACTTGCAGCTCAGTGGGCAGAGTGCTTGTAGCTGAGTGGATGGAGGGGAGGTGAGGGTGGGAAGGTCTATCTCGGGCAAACGTCACCTAGCCCTGTGCTTCCGTCTTGCAGAGCTCAACTTTTGTGTCCAACACGACGGTGAGTGACCCGGGTCCTGACACCCCCCAGCCCCAACCC